TTTTCTTTCGCATCTTTTTTTTAGTCTGTGTTTTCATTTTACCCCCTCCTTGTTGCAACCGGAAGTTATTGATTTTAGTTTTGCAATATAACCCTTCTGTTTGTTTTCCCACCCATCTCCTTCTCCCCCCGTCCCCCTCCCCCCTCCCCATCCCATCCCATCCATCCCCTATCGTCTGCTTGCATGGTATGCCTGTGTCGCGTCTGCTAGTGACGAGAAGGGGGCGTAACCCAGGGAAAATTAGCGAGTACAACCCCCCTGCGGTGGAGGAAGAGTTTGCCTCCCCTTACAGCCAGCGCACCTCGGCCAATGTGGTCTATGACTCCCAGAGGGGAGAAGGTAAATTCTTCATCCCTGCTTTCTTCTTCTCCCCCCGTCTTTGAGGAAACCCTTCTTTCATTCATTCAGTAATTCTTGTTTAGAGTGAAAGAAGAATAAGATGAATCCCCTTTGTTCCTCTGGTTCGCAGATTGAAAAAAGGACCAGCTTTTAGATAGTTACTGTATGTAATGCCATTTATTTGGCTGTTCTGAGTTCATGTATGTTCATGACGACAACCCATTGTTCTTTCAGTAGGAACGTGCTTGGGTCGTCTTTCTTCAGCAGTTTTCGGGGGACTCACAGCAGCAATGCTGAACATCTTCCAAAGATTTATCAGTCACCAGTGATCTTTCTCAAGTTTTCTTGGGGCGGGTGGGGGAAGGAGGGGGGAGGCAAGTTATATGTAGAGAGTGTATGAGAAAGCTACATGTATATGTAAAGAGTGTAGAAAATTTGATGATACAGAGAGTCACTGAATGAATTGTCTAGGTCTTTAGAACTGTTTTCATGAATGATGAATTTCGACCCGAGTGTAGTGTATTGTTTTAAAATGTATTTATATCTGTCTGACTGTTGAGGAGTATAATATACTATAATATTGTTCTGGTTGTTGAGAGGAGCAAGAACTTATTAGGTACCTATTAATTTTACCTAAGAGAGAAACTAGAAATTCAATTGATTTGGAGACTGGAAGCACCCTGTTTCTTGTTGGTTGACCAGGGTGGCAGGTTTTGTGAACACATTCTGCTACAGGCTATGTCGTTAGGTGTAGGTCTTCATAGGTCTTCCACGGTTTTATCCTCATCGTCATGCGGTCTCTTGCCGACTGGCGTGGGGGATCATGGTAGGTTTTAACCTACCCACACACTCTGGCGTTGACCAAATGACAAGGACATGTGGTTACTTGAGGGAGGCATTGCGCTGCCAAGAGCGAAATGCTCACAGCTAACGGGATTTGAAAACAACAACCACAACCTACCCACACGCAAGATAGGACAAGTGGTTATTGGTCGACTCTGTTATGTTTCGTCTTGAGTTTCCTCTCTATCGGAACTGACCATAGTCTGTGGTCTCCACTGTTTGTCTGTGGTTCACTATTGAGGCCCAGAACGACATTCTCACAAAATTGGCGTTTAAGAAGGGGG